AGCAGGTGAACTTTCTGTGGCTTGCTCGGCTGGTCGAACGCCTGGATGAATGTCGATTGTCGTGCCCACGTTCCCGTGGCGTCTGGTCCCGATATCTTCACCATCTCCATGGCACGTCCGTGCTACGAGCTTCAGCCTCTGCAGTCGGGCTGGGGTGGCCTTGAATTGTCAGTTGCTCAAGACGGTCAGAAACACGTAGGTGGCTTGGCAGGCAGGCGAACCAAGATTCTCGGCTGGGTTGTCCTTTGTGGCCTTGGCGTGCTCGGCATATGCTGTGTGCGCGTCCACGACTATCTGATGCCTCCTATCGAATATCGCGGTGTTCGTCGTCTCGTGTTCCAGCGACCGTACTCGGGCCTCCAGCTGCACGGTGAGATTCTTCATCACGAGAATGGTCGAGGCGTCGTCCATGTCGTCGTTTTCCGTCTCTGCTGTGCGTATCTTCTTGGCAGTGCCCTCGTCCATGGCGAAACTCTTGCACCGATCCCTCAGCACCGACGTCTTGGGCGGCTCTTCAGACCCTGTCCTGTCTTCTGCCACCCAACACAAGCGTCAAAGTCTCGTCCTGCAGATTCGGCCAAGCGGGATTGCCACTCGGTAGCAACTAATGACACGCTGCGTAGGCCGCGTACTGAGAAAGTCGTCGGACGTGAAAGCACGGAGGTAAATACGGTAGCACATGTCTTGTGCAATACTCGAGCCGCTGTGCCATGTTAACGAATGTGTCCCAGATGCTGGGCAACCCAAGTTCTTCGGGTGTATGATCTCTCTAGCAGATCGACCTCGATCACACGGGCAATACTGACGCCTCAAGCTCGAAGCAGCACATTTCTCGGCAACATCTGTATTCAACACACATGTGTTGGTTGGTAGTGGTGAGTATTCGTCCTACATGTAATAGTCCATGGCCTCCTCCTATGTTGCTCCGAGGAGTCCGAGGAAGAGCAGGAGCAGGGGCAGCAGGGGCAGCAGCTGGAGCTGGTTTGGTACAGATGCGGGGAAGCAAGCAGCGCGACAAGGAGGAGGTGCAAGGGGAGCAGGAGAAGGGGGAGGAGGGGGGGGGAGGAGGGGGGGCGAGAGGAGCAAAGGGAGGAGGGGCGGGGGGAGAGGAGCAAAGAGAGGAAAAAGGAGGAGCGACCAGTAGGCATGAAGGATGAGCGATGAGGAGAAAGGCGAGAGGACCGAGCAGGAGATGGAGGGAACACCAGGAGCCAAAGCAGAAGCCAAGGCAGGAGCCAAAGCAGGAGCTCCAGCGGCCAACACGCCCGCGGGAGCGACGACGACGACGACGACGCTGACGACGACGACGACGACGACGACGACGACGACGACGACGACGACGGCGGCGGCGTCGGCGGCAGCGGCGGCGGCGGCGTCGGCGGTGGCGGCAGCGACCGCGACCACGACGAGGGCGGCAGGCCGCGACCCGACGACGCCCGACGACGCCGTCGGCTGTGGCCGCGACCGCAGGGAGGCCCCGCAACACGGGGCCGAGCTCGAGGGGCCCGCGCGCCGGCCCGCGTCTCCAGGAGGAGGAGGAGGAATCAGGAAGGAGGAGGAGGAGGAGGAATCAGGGAGGAGGAGGAGGAGGAATCAGGGAGGAGGAGGAGGAAGATGAGGAGGAGGACGGTGGGGAGGAGGAGGAGGAGGAGGAGGAGAAGGAAGAGGAGGAGGAGGAGGACGGTGGGGAGGAGGAGGAGGAGGAGGAGGAGGAGGAGGAGGAGGAGGAGGAGGAGGAGGAGGAGGACGGGGGCCATGACCTCGACTGAGGGCGGAAGCGTCATTTGAGCTCTGACCGACCGTCCCGGCAGGTTCTGCAGGCCTACCACGACATGTTCTTCAGAACCTGAGCACGTTCCAAGAGCACCAACCGTGTTCTTAGAACGTAGGCCCGATGTGTTAAAACAAGACAAACTCAGCCAGACATGTTCTGAGAACATTCCGTGCAAACCACATTGTTTGGTAGGCCTACAGGACGCTTCGCCACTGCTTGAGTCGTTCCGATCTTGATCTCCATCCGTCTTGGTCGGCGTCATTTCGTGGATTATCCTCGCGCATCGGCGAAGGCCGACATGGACCAGGACCAAAATGGCATCGATAAGATCCCGCGACATCTTGGCCGTGGTCGTGGTCCGCGCACTTTTTCAATTGCGTATCAGCCGAGGAAGGACGCCGAAAGGAGAGGAGAGGAGCGGCAACACCCCAAAAGGCCCGACAGGAAAGATCGGGTCGTCCAAGAGGGGGGGGGGGGGGCACAAATGATGGCAAGCGCCATGCGGGCCCATCGGGGGGCCGGGGACGTATTGAGATAAGACGAGGAGTCACGAAGTCTGTGTAGATATCACGGCCCCCGCCTTGATATATCCACCCCACCCTCCCCTCTGGGCTCCACCCGACAAGAGGCCGAAGGGAAAGGCATGGTGAAAGATGCCCAACCCCCAGGAAGCCCAGCTCTCCCTCCCTGCGCAGGAGGGGTGGGAGAAGGGAGGGGCTGGCGGCGCTCATCAAAAGAGGGCGGCACGAGTGGGTGGAGCTTGACGAGAAGGCGGAGGAGGGGGAGGAGGAGGGGGGGAGGCGAATGGTGAGGAGGGAGGAGGAGGAGGAGGGAGGAGAGGAGAGGAGGAGGAAGGAGAGGAGGAGGAGAGGAGGAGGAGGAGGAGGGGGGGGGGAGGGGAGGGGAGGTGGGGGAGGGGGGGGGGGGAGAGGGGAGGGGGGAGGGGGGGGAGGGGGAGGGGGGGGGGGAGGGGGAGGGAGGAGGAGGAGGAGGAGGGAGGAGGAGGGAGGAGAGGAGGAGGAGGAGGAGGAGGAGGAGGAGGAGAGGAGAGGAGGAGGAGGAGGAGGAGGAGGGGAGGAGGAGGAGGAGGAGGAGGAGGAAGAAGAAGATGAGGATGAGGAGGAGGAGGAGGAGGAGGAGGAAGAGGATCCCTCGAGGAGGAGGAGGAGGAGGAGGAGGAGGAGGAAGAATGGGCAGAACGCCCCGAATGCGTCACCCCGAGTGCCAGGCCAGGGCCCTCTGGCATCCGGCCGCCTCCGCGGGACGAGGCGGGCCCACCCACCCATGGAAGGGCACTCCCGCCGAGGCGCCGCGCCGCGGGAAGGGCACTCCCGCGGTCTGGAGCAGCGCTGGCGGCCCGACGAGCACACCCGACGACCTATTTCGGGCGCTCCTGATCTAGAGGACCAAACTGTGAGCGCTCTCTTATTCGGCGCTTCGACGCTGAGCTGAAGGGCCCTAAAACAGCCCAAGAGGACACCAAGACGGCCCAAAACGTTTCCAAGACGGCCCCAGGAGGCGCACCCAAGACGGCTCCAAGAGCGTGCCCAGACGGGGGACCCAAACGGACAGTTCGACCCTTCGGCTCCACCAGGCTACCAGGAGACCCCAAGAGGTTCCCCAGAGGCCTCAAGAGGCCCACAAGAGGTCCCCAGGAAGCCCGAAGAGGCCCCCAAAAGGCTCGGGGGGTCTTGCTCCGGACCTCTGCTTAGTGCGACTGTTTGCAGCAGTGCGTCATATGAGAGAGACTCCACCTGCTCGAAACAGGCGCCCAAAACAGCCAAGCTCTACTCCAGGGCAGGGGGGAGGGGGTGGGGGAGTGCGAGGGCCCGTGCTGGGCCGGGTCAGGTTGGTGGAGTGGGCGGTGACAAATCAGCGGCCGAAGCATACTTTCTCGGAGGCCCGCGCGGATGTCTTGGATCTTGTCTGGTCGGCGCGGAGCGCGCCAGGGGTGGCGCCGCCAGGGAGGGGTGTCCGGCGTCGATCCGAGAAGTCCGCGCGGACCTTCGAGAAACTGTGTTTAGGCCGCCTTAGTGATTCTGCTATTGTCAGAGATCTGGACCATGAGAGCATATGCTGCGCCAAACAGACACCATCGCACACAAAAACACACATCTGGAAATCCTAGACTACATCTCCCTGCGTTATTATTCAAGCCGGATCGATGTATGTAAATCCTGGGGCCCGAAGCCAGGCGAAAACGCCAGGCGTGGCCAAAAAAAGGAAGAGCCCGGATCTGAAAGGGAACTTCTGTCTTGGTCTTTTCTTACCCATCGGTCAGAAGTGGGTAGCCAGAAACATGAAGCAGGAAGGCGCTGGAACAGGATTGGATGCCCGCCCGCTCCGTGAAGAGGAGGGAAGTGGGACAACCGTTCGACTCCTGAAGTTGGCAGGCGCCTAAAGTAGATTGGAATCAGGGAATCCACAGATACAGTCAACCCATGTAGTCATGATGCGTATTAAGGATGCAAGGGCCTTTGACGCCCATGCCGAGGCTCTCCGAGCGGGGTTGGCCATCGCCAGTGGCTGAGGATGGACCGAAGATGACTGGAGAGGCAAGGATGCAGGGGGCACCCTTCGGGAAGACGATCATTCTTACTGCCCAGGGTGACTGTACCTATAGCCTATACCCTTCGGTCCGAAGTAGGTGGAAACATGAAGTAGCAAGGCATAGAAAATAGATTGGGTGTCCGCCCGCCCGCTGAAGAGGACGGGAAAGGCGACGCCACTCGACCACTGTAAGTAGGAAGGAGCCCAAGCAGCTTGGAACCTGGGGCTCAAAGGATACTACGGCAAGTTCGTGTCGTGCCGACCCCAGCGTTGGTTTTTGACACCGCAGGGATCGTTCAACCTTGAACGATCGGCCGCTGCCGCAACGTCCGATCGTTCAACATCGATCGATTCTGGGTCGCCGGCGGCGTTCAACCTTGAACGCCCGCGCTGGGGTCGCCGCTGGTCGACACGACGCAAACCTACCGTACCTGCTTCCAGCGACCCATGGGACTCGTCGGAGCTCGGGGGGCCCGGGCGCCCACCGCGGCGGCGGCGGCCGCCGCGGCCGACGACGGCCCAGCGGCGGCCGCCGCGGCCGCCGCGGCGCCGAGACGGGACCCCGGCGGGCGCGGGCCGACGCGGCCCGGCGGCGGCCGCCGCGGCCGACGCGGCCGACGACGGCCCGCGGCCGACGCGGCCGACGACGGCCGACGACGGCCGACGACGGCCCCGCCTCGCAGTCCTTCTGCGCGGCGTCCTGCAGCGTGCGGCACTGGAAGGGCAGCGGGGCCGCGGGCGTGGGGCCTCCCGAAGGGCGCCCTGCGCCCCTCCCGGGGAGGAGCACGGCACGAGAGGGGCGGAGGGGGAGGGGCGAGGAGGAGGAGGAGGAGGAGGAGGAGGAGGAGGAGGAGGAGGAGGACGACGAAGCGGGCGAAGAGGGCGAAGACGAGGAGGAGGGAGGAGGAGGAGGAGGAGGAGGAGGAGGAGGAGGAGGAGGAGGAAGAGGAGGAGGAGGAGGAAAAGGATGACCTTGAGGAGTGCCCCATTCGCCAGAGGCAAGCTCGGCCAACATCGAACCGGGAAATCGGATCGGGTCGGCATGTGCAGCCGTCTTGCTGCCCCCGGGAGCGCACAGTCGGGGGTGAAGTGGCTCTTCTGGCCACGGCGAGCCTCGGCCACGAATAGGCCGGGCCCCTCAACCCAGACCACGGAGCGGCCCCCAAGCCAGACCCCTCCTGCGCCTGAAGTCATACATGGTCACCCATCTTGACTGTACATCGAATCGGGCCGCATCGGCACGGAGTCGGAATCGAACCAGGCGGGTCGCGTCGGTATACGGTATGCTCAGCGACGCCGTGCGAACCTGGGGCCTCATCGGGCCGTCGGGATATCCGAATCGAATCGGATCGGGCTGGCCGAAATCGATATCGAATCGGACCGATCTGATCGAAATGGAACCTGGTTTGAAGGTCGGACAGGGCAAGACAAGCGCCGGAAACGTCCCGTAGGACGGCCCCTCCAGGAGCTCGGCGGGGGCGCCAGAGCGCCGAAACTCAGACGATGATGTCACGACGAGCTCAATTTCGTGTGCCGCGAGGCGCGAGGGGAGTTTCCCCAGGCTCTCATGTGTTCTCTGTCCTGGGTCCTGTATTCTAGTACGGCAGGTTCGTGTCGTGTCGACCCCAGCGTTGGTTCCCGACACCGCGCTGGATCGTTCAACCTTGAACGATCGGCCATCTCCGCAACGTCCGATCGTTCAACATCGACCGATTCTGGGCCGCCGGCGGCGTTCAACCTTGAACGTCGGCGGCGGGGTTGCCGCCGGTCGACACGACGCGAACCTACCGTATTCTAGGGGCTGGGGCCCCTCGTTCTCGGACTGTTCGGGCTCCAATTCGCGGAGCGGCGCTCTGCGACTCTGCCCCAGACCACACGCACTCGCTGCTCCTCCCCTCGTTCGCAGAGCGCTGCTCTGCGAATTAGCCTCGAAGCAGGGCTCCTCATATCCTGCTCGGGCTCTGATTAGCAGAGCGCCGCTCAGCAAATTGGCCTCAGAGCATGTGCGCGTCCACTGCTCCTCCTCTCATGAGCAGAGCGCCGCTCTGCTAATCTGACAAGAGCAAGCGCACCCGCTGCTCATTGTTTAGCCACCCGAGAGCCAACAAAAACGGCCAAGAGGGCCACAAGAAGCGCGCAAGAGGATCGGAGAGGCCTCCAAGACGGCCCAAGAGCGCTCCAAGACGCCCAAGATGGGCCCAAGACGGCCCAAGAGGCCCCACATAATCCCCCCGAGGACCTCGACCTCCCAGTGGGCCCCCACATGCAACAATCACTTGTGTTCCTTGTTTTCTTTCCATGTGTTTTTGCGTTCTCGCGTTTTCGGGATTCCGACGCTCCAAAATGGCCCCAACGGCCCGCAAGACCGCCCCAAGACGGCCAATGAGGCCCCCGAGAGGGACCCAAGACGGCCCAAGAGGTGTCCAAGACGGCCCAAGAAAGCCCCAAGACTGCCGCAAGAGGGGCCCAAGACGACAACACGAACCGACAATTCGAGCCTTCCGCTCCAAGAAGCCCCCAGGAGGCCCCAAGAGGCCTCCAGAAGGTCCCAAGAGGCCCCGCGAGGCTCCCAAGAGGCCCCCAAGAGATCCAAACAGAGGCCCCAAGAGGCCCTCCAAACGGCCCTCATCAGGCCTCAAGACTGCCTCCAAGAGACCCCGAGAGGCCTCCCACGATATCCCAACGAACATCCACGAGGCCTCTTACCCACAGCCCAAGCACGGTGGCGGGGTGGGCCGAAGGCCTCTCTCCCTGACTCTCTCTCTCTCTCTCTCTCTCTCTTCATATGTACACATACATATATATATATATGATATGATATATGCACGCATACATGAATAGCGTTTGCAGAAGCGGTAAAGCTTCTGCTGTGCCGTCCTCTGCTCCTCAATGCACTAGGCTATTTAGTTGAACACGTACTGTCATGTGCGCACAAAATCAAAACACCACCGCTGAGACCCACATCGTCGTAAATCAACTCCGTTGGGACATGAACCATTACGGGCTCAATCTGAAATCGAACCTGCTACCACCTGCTTCGAAGCAATCCACGATATACATTAACACCGGTATGCACATTGGCTGCCGAAACAAATGGTGAAATCCACCTCCGCTTTGGGCGAGCCAGCTGTGTCACTTCCGCCGTGGGCGAGCCACAGAAAATTCACTGGGTACTCAGAGGTGGTCAGCTGTGCCCGCGTCCAAATCACACTTTCTCGTAGTCAGCAACACCTCATCGTCGGAGACTTCAAGGATCGTCTGCAAAGCACCCTGCTGGGAGGTTTTGCTTCAACATCAGCAAGCATCGTGACATCGTTTATGAAACGCTGTAGTACTTGGTCAGCATGGGCTGGCATATGTACAATGTTATCTGCCTCACCTCTTCCTCCTGGTGCCTGGACAGGGGCACCGTCGGTGAAACACTTCACTGCGAAGACTGGCTCGACGGTGCGGTAAGACACCATACCTTCAACGAACTCTTTGCCGGCATCCCATCGCATGCACGCCGTCGTATGCACGCACTTGGCTCAGGAGTGCTCTGGCAGGCGCGTGAAGCTCTCCTTGCGCCACCTCCTCCTCCTCCTCCTCCTCCTCCTCCTCCTCCTCCTCCTCTTGCTCCTCCTCCTCCTCCTCCTCCTCCTCCTCCTCCTCCTCCTCCTCCTCCCAAAGACTGGCGCAACTCTCCCGCCACATACCCAAAATCGGCCCCTCCTTCCCTCCTCGTGTGCCCCAAGGGGCCCCTGGCCAACGGTCTTCCCCAGAATCCGCAGGGAGGCCCCCGCGACATCCCCTCTCCGCCGAACTATCAAATGTGAAAGCCACCGCGAGAATCGCACCTCCAGAGTCGGCCGATCCGCGCTCACAGCGTTCACCTGTGAGGCGGACGAACGGCTGAAGCTGAGGCTGCGCCTATAGCAAGGGCTCCTAAGTTCGCGCTTCGCGCTGCGCGAAGCGCGAAGCGCGAATAACTTCGCGCTCTCGCGCCGCCCCCCAAGGGGGAGAAGAGGAGGACGAGGAGGAGGGGGAGGAGGAACGAGGACCGCGAAGCGCGAAGCGCGAATAACTTCGCGCCCTCGAGGGAGCGCCTATAGCGTCCCAAGGGGACGGCCCTGCGAGGGGCTGGGCGGTGACGCGGGGGCGCCGAACTTAGATTCCATCCGTAACCCGTGGTTATGTCGCTATTAGGGGGCAAACAAACCTACCTCGCTTTTGACCACCCTCGCTTCCAAGAGATACCAAACGATGCCAAACTGCAGCCTGTACTGATCAGGCCGCTTGACGAGGAGGCGCGTGGTATGGCTTGGTTTTGCCTGGAAGCGAAAGCGGGGTAGGTAATTCACGCTCTGAGTAACCCGTGGTTATGTCGCTATGCTGTGTGGGGCACGTCCGCAGAGCTTATGTGGTGAAGGCGTCGGGGCCAAAACTAAATTCTCTCTCGAGTTTCCCGTACTTCGATGTCCGGACGAAAGGAGAGATATGGGACGCACAGAGACAGACTAATACTAGATGTCCTCCTTGGAGGCGCACGTCCGACCCTAACATGTAGTATGCCGGAAGAACATCCATCTATTAGTAGATCGTTTCCCGAGCGGTGTGGCCTGAAAGCGCCCGCCACGGCGCATATGCTATAAGATTTCTCGGTGCCCGCGTCGCCCCTGGGGGGGCGACGCACACATAGTATCAGTGTGTGGGGGTGACGCCGAGGATCGTAAGAGGGGGAGGGCAAATCAGCTGCACGCACCTGGATGCCTGTCGAGCTCTCGATACACATGTACGGCAGGTTCGTGCCGTGTCGACCTGGGCGTTGGTTCCTGACACCGCGCGGGATCGTTTAACCTTGAACGATCGGCCATTTCCGCGACGTCCAATCGTTCAACATCGACCGATTCTGGGCCGCCGGCGGCGTTCAACCTTGAACGCCCGCGCTGGGGTCGCCGCTGGTCGACACGACGCGAACCTACCGTATGTTGGGGTGACGCCGAGGATCGTAAGAGGGGGAGGGCAAATCAGCTGCACGCACCTGGATGCCTGTCGAGCTCTCGATACACATCTATGAAGGGGCCCTGGGACACACAAATAAATACACACAAATAAAAGGATTACCCACATTTTCCTGTATTTTCTGGGGTTTTGTCTTCCCCCCCACGCCCCATATTTTCCCATATGTTCCTGGGAATCGAGGATTCATTGTGTCTGTGTGTTTCTTCTCCTCTCGAATCTATCGAGGAGCGCGCGGCGGGGCCGACAACACCGGCCGAGCGCGGCAGACCTCGTGCCGCTTCCCTTTCCCTGCCCCCGCTTTTTCCGCCCGGGCCCGAGCCCAGAGCCCGCTGCGCGAGGTCTAACCTTCCCTTCTACCTCCCTCCCTCCCTCTCTCCCTCCCTCCCTCCCTCCCTGCTGCTCCTCCTCCTCCTCCTCCTCCTCCTCCTCCTCCTCCTCCTCCTCCTCCCCCTCCTCCTTCTCTTAACCCTCCTCCTCCCCCTCCTCCTCTTAACCCTCCACCTCCTCCTCCTCCTCCTCCTCCTATGCCCTCTCCCCCCCTGGAGAAGGAGAAGGAGTAGAGCGCGCGAGGAAGAGGAGGATGAGGAGGAGGAGGAAGGAGAAGAAATACGGTCGGAGGTGGAGAAGGAAAATCGAGGTCGAATGATTATGGTGATAACCCGAGGCCTGCCGAGGCAACAGAGGACGCGCTTGAGCGCAGAGTCCTGGAATAATGAACATGCTGAACGAAAGAAACGGGCGCTGAAGGAAACGGGTCTGAGACCCCGGGCCGTCCCCGAAACCAGCCGAAACCAACTCTTCATCCAGAATGACTGTGTCCTGGGAAGGGCCCCAGGGCCCCCCCGGGGAACGGCGAAACACCTCCAGGGCTGCTCATCTCCATGGCGAGCGTGCAGGTGGGAACGGCACAGCCCACCCCCACCCCCAGCCAGGACCACACTCCCGACCTGGTGATCCAGGGAATCCTGGCCAGGGGTGGGAGCGGCTTCTGTTTGGTCGGGCATGTCCCCCTACAGGCGGATTTTGGAAGACAAATGAAAATACACAAAAAATACTCGAGAATAGTCTAACAATGATCAAACAATCGTCCCCATACATTTTTTTTACAATTTTCGGATATTCCTCCTGTAGAGGGACACGCCCGACATAAGTATGATTATTATGATTTGTGATGGAAAACCGCACTCGCCCCAAACCAGGACCCCCTGGATCACCAGGTCGGACGTGGGGGGGCTGGCTGTGATGGGTCTGTTTTCCACCACCATCACCCCCATCAGTTGGAGAGTGGAAGGAGAAGGAGGACGAAGAGGAGAAGGGGGAGGAGGAAGAGGTGGACGAGGAGGAGGAGGAGGAGGACACCCTCCCCCTCCAACTTATGGTGGTGGTGATGGGAAACAAGCCCATCAGGCTGGGGGTGGGGGTGCGTCGTGCTGTCCTCAGCATGGGGACCAAAACATCCGACGATGTCCCAGCCCCTTCCGCGGGGGCGGCCAGCTTTTGCGTCACGGGTCCATGTTTGATGGCACCAGGTCTCGACAAAAGGGCCCCCGAGGCCCAAAGGAAGGAATCCGCCGGTTGCGAAAAACAGAAGGGTCGGGCGTCTGGGGACGAGGAGGAAGAGGAGCCCCTCCCCTCCGAAATTCACGTGCACTGTCATATTCCTGAACGTCACCGCCGGGAAAAGCGTCTTGCCCTTCAGCGCATCCGGGATCGGCTGCGGCTGGCAGATGCGCGTGCCGTCCCTGCGCCCAGGCTCGAGGAGGAGGGGACCAGGAAGAGGGTAACGACCTGGATGAGCACGGGGAGCGCGAGGATCAAGAGGATGACTCTGAGGAGGGCTGCTGAGGAGGAGGAGGAGGAAAATCGTCGGGATCAGGTGTTGGAGGGTTCATAACTCTGGCAGCTGGGTGATCCCTCGATCCTTGCGTGGAACATGTGCACAGAAACTCGCCTCTATTGGGCCTGCCCGCGGCGTGCCGCGGGCACAATGTGAGTGTGCGGCGGCCGCGTCCGCGAGGGCGGCCGCAGAGAGGGCAACTGGGGAAGGCGAGGGTCTCCCTCCTCCCTCCCCTCTTCTTCCGCCTCCTCCTCCCCCTCCTCCCTCCTCCTCCTCCTCCTCCTCCTCCTCCTCCTCTCCTCCTCCTCCTGCTCCTCACTCCTCCTCCTACTCCACCTCCTCCTCTTCCTCCTCCTCCTCCTCCTCCGCCTCCTTCTCCTCCTTCTGCTCCTCCTCCTCCTCCCCCTTCTGCTCCTCCTCCTCCTCCTCCTCCTCCGCCCCCTCCTCCTCCTCTTCCTCCTCCTCCTCCTTCTCCTCCTCCTCCTTCTCCCCCAGGCGAAGGTGAGAAGGAGGAGGGCGGGGACGACGAAGGGGCAAGAGGGAGAGGTCACGGGGATGGGCGACGACGAGGACACGGAAGAGGAAAGTGGGAGGAGGACGAGGCGCACACAGACGAGGAGGGGGGCGCGGAGGAGCCGAGCTGGAAGACGATGGCGAGGGGTCGCTCGAGCGGCCACTGCACCGACCTTGCAGACGTGCCGCAGCGGATTTTTGCGTGGATGTCTGCCAATGCAAAACCCCGAAACGGCGAGTGAACAACAACGTGAATTTCGCGTGGATTGTTTCAATCTTCATTCCTGGCCAAACGAAAAAATCCGCACGAAATTCACCTCGAAATCCGGAACGGAACTCTCCAGGACACTCCGGGCCCATCCTGTCGTTTTCCGAACGAAGTCCGCTCTGCGATATTGGAGCCATGAGAGCGGCGGGCGGCCTGAAAAGGCTGACCGTGTCGGCGTTCGGGCTCGCGGCGTCCAGGTTCAGCAGCACCGCCACGACGTTGTCGCGGCCGAACCCCTCCGCAACCTTGCTGGTCGTCTTGTTGTGGGTGAAAGACCCCTTGGTGCGTCACGCAGCGGGGAGGAAGGAAGAGACGTGCGACTTGCGAAGCGCGGGAGTGTTGAACACCCCTTCCCAGAGAATCTACACTGGCACCCTGCCGATGGGAGGGGCCCCATTCAAGAGGTCCCAACTGAGAGGAGGAGTTGGGAGGAGGGGGACAGGGAGGTACATGCTGTCAATGTTCAGCACCGTCGGGTCCCTGCACGGCTCCTGAAAGCACCCAGGATGCCTCCCAGGAGTAAGCCCCATCCATGGGGTGCTTCAATGAGATTCGCGCCCAGGCAAGAGGAGCAAAGAGAAGAGGCCGGGAGGGGTGACGAGAGAGCGTCTAAGAGGGCAGATCAGGACAGACAGAGGGTGCGGAAGAGGAGGCTCGAGAAGGGTGCGGAAAGAGTAGGAACTGGCAAGTGGCCGAATGCTGCGCACGACTGAAGCCCCAACAACGGCGGCGTCGCAAAGGAATCCCACCAACCCTCCTGGCGCGAGTGCTTGAGAGCGTTTCCTCGTCCATCTTCCTCCTTTTCCCTTCGGAGAGCGTTTTGCCACGGGTCTCTACGAATTAGCCACCCCACCCGACCGGCAGCCAACCTGGACCCACAGCCCCCCACCACCTCCCCTTCAAAAAACAATACAACATGGATTTTGGTTCCAACTCTGGAGCATGCGCGGGCGGCCCGCGACCACGTCGAACTGATTGCTGACAGGGACGGCGGGGTGGTGTCGGCATATTGCTTGCTGCCCGTAGGCCAACACCCCGCCACCATCCCTGGCAAAAAGAACGCAAACCATGAACATTGCACCAACATTTGCAACCTGCGCGGACGCCACGCGATGACTTTGGAATGGTTGTTGAAAAGGGTCGGCGAGGGGGGGCACCGCATTGCCTGCTGCGTGCAAAACCCCGCCCACCAACCACCTCTTGCAACAAAAACAATACAACATGCACTTTGCAACAAAATCTGGATCATGCGCGGACGCCTTGCACGCACATTGCAACTTTTCACAGGGGTGGCGGGCGTGCCGGCAAATTGCCTGCTTGGTGCAGGCTTATATGCACTGTCAAAAGGAAAAACAGTTGCTAGCCAGCGCGAGCCCCAAACATTCTGCGTCTAGCAGTATAGGTTATGCGATATAGGTGGGACATTCTACGTTCTGCAATTGATTTTAACAAACGAATGGACACATCCCGCGCTCTTGCCAACATGCCACCCACCCACCCGCAACTTGGTTTGCAATATCTCTTAAGACCGTGACGGTGGGTACCAAATTGCACTTGGCAGCGACAGCGACGCCGACGACGACAGCGACAACGACGACGATGACGCCGCCGACAACGACTACGACGACACATACGACGTCTCCAACGACTTCGACGACGCCTTCAAGGACGACGACGACGCCACCGACGACGACAACGCCGACGCCGACGACGACGACGATGACAACGACGACGACGACGACGACGCCGACGACGACGACAACGACGACCACCGACGACGACGACGATGACGTCAACGACGCCGGCGACGACGACGACGACGGCGGCGACGACGACGACGCCGACGTCGACGACGACGAAGACGACGACGACGCCGACGACGACGACGAAGACGACGACGACGTCGCCAACGAAGACGACGACGAGGGAGGAGGGAGGACGACGAACGCGACAACGACGACAACGACGACGGACGAGGAGGAGGAGGACGGCGATGACGCGAGCGACGAAAAAGGAGGATGGACGGCGACGCCGACGACGACAACGACGAGGGAGGAGGGACGACGACGACGACGACGACGACGACGACGACGACGGCGACGAAATAGGAGGGACGACGACGAGACGCCGACGACGGACGACGACGACGACGAGGGAGGAGGAAAGACGACCACGGCGACAACGACGACGGAAACGACCACGACGGCAAAGAGGACGACGACAACGAACACGAGGAAAAACTGAGGACGACGTAGGCGACGACGACGACGACGCAGGAGGAAGAAAGACAGCGACGACGACGACGACGACGGCGACGACGCAAGAGCGCGCGTGCACGCTTTTGTTGAAAATCCGTGTTGCGAAACCTTGTGTTTTCGAATGTTTTTTGGGCACACGATTTTGAAATCGTTCCGAAACCGATGGGTTGTTTGAAAGATTTCGGCGTACGCGCGCGACGACGCGCGCGTCTGCACTTCGTCCCGTTTGTTGTAGAGGATTCTCGCGACGGCACACGCGCAAGGGCGTTCGACAAAGTTCGACATGCGCGCGCGAAGCCCGTTTGGTAGCATTATGTGAAAATCTTGAAGGTCCTAAACAAAAAGCTCGCGCGTAAGTTGTTTAGCAAGTCCGCGATGCGAAACCAGATGTATTTGTATGTATCGTTGTTGGAAACTCGATTGCGAAATCATTCCGACACAAAAGGGTTTTGAAGGATTTCGGCCTGCGCGCGCGCGACGACGCGCGCGTGCGCACTTCGTCCCACGTTTTGCAAGGGATTCGTGACAAAGTGTTATGTTAGAACAAAGCATGTCCCCGCGTATCGTTTTTTACAAGGGAACCTCGGGGGAACCGATACTGGTTCCTCTGGGATCGTATCAATTCAGATTTCGGATGGCTTGTGGCCAGAATCATATGATTTACATACCCGAAAGGGGAACGGATCACGCCGGGGGGGTAGAATCTATGATCTTTTTAGGAAGAAGAACCGACGTTATGCAAGATCTGTTGTTCGGAGTCTGGTGCGCATTCTATGTAGCGCAGTACTACGTGATGTAATCTATGTGGAACATCTTACGTGATGCAATATACGATGTGCAATACATGTCACACAAAATGCGCGATACAATCGTTGCTAAATCAATACAATGGGTTGTATTATCTACTCGATGCAACGTACGTTGTGCAATATACGTGGAACGTCTTGTGCGGTGTTATGTAAAACCCAACATATGTTGTGCAACACAGACAAACAAACAGACAACCCCGCGCTCCGGCCGTTAACAACGGTCTTCTAGAAAGGTTGGCGCATGGGACACGCCGTGCCCGGCCAGTGGAGAAACCGAGGTGTCGCTGCAATCGCGGATTTGGGCGAAAAAGCGCAAAACGGTACACCAAACTCAGAAACTACCTCGTCACAACTTCCACTGGCTCATTCCACGCATCATCGGAAAACGCACAACGCCGCCACGATGTGTGAATACCTTGCGTATAGATGTACTCCCGGACGTCGTCATCCCAGCATCCCTTCTGTCTGCCGGTCACACGACGTGCTGACATAGAGGTCAAGGCCGGATCCCAATACATCGATTGCGAAGCCCAGCGGCCCGTATGTTTGCCAGTCGGAAACCCCATCGCCAATTGCGTCTTGTTCGCGGCTCAACATGGGTTGCCCGGAAGTGTTCCTCTGTAGCCCTCGTCGTTCGTCTGATAAAATCGGCCCACAGCTCCAGATGAATACTTTCCGAAATGCATGGTGATGTACAATATGTTTCTGGCTCTGGGTCGCTGTCTACGTTTGCGCAATCAATCACGACATGGTCCACGCCGTCCGTTGGTATTGCTCTTCGCTTCGCACCCAGCACATGTCAGAGCATCCTCCCATCTATGTGGTGCGTTCTACGTGATGCAATATGTGGTTCGCAGGTTACGTGGAGCAGTTTAAGCGGCGCAATCTACGTGGTGCAATCTACGTTGCGCATTGGATTTTTACAAATGCGTTGACACATCCCACGCCCCTGCAAACATCCAGCCCGCCCGCCAGTTGGTTTGCAAAACCCATGCGGCGGCGATTGCAATGAATGCTTGGCGTTGGCTGGTGCACTTCCGCGGCCGCGCTAGCCCATGCATGCTCGCGCGCATAACGGCCAACTAGCTTGGCGCGACCGACGCGGCCGCGGTGGCGCTGACCGCTGGGCACTTACCAGCGGGCACTTCAGTGTGATTCAGTGGCCAGGGCGGGTGCGGTACCATGGCGATACCGTCAAGGGTGGACACGACTGTGACAGGAGCGATGATGGTGACGATGGTGGCGATGACGACGGTAAAGCCAATGACGGCGCTGATGCTGATCACGCCCGCCGATAAAAATGACGATGTCGTCGCGTCGGCGATGAAGGTTTTCGAAGGAGTTCGACATGCGCGCGCGGCCGACGCGCGCGAGTGGCCCGCGTGGTACGATTTGACACGAACCGTACCCCCCCCCCCCGAAAGCAAGCGCGCAAAAACGTTCGAATGAGTTCGACATGCGGCGCGAGAGGCCCGTGTGGTAGACTTTGATTAACAGCCCCTTCAAGAATTAGCCAGAGCGCGAGCGCAGGATTTGTTTGAACATTGTTGTCGCAATACCACGTTTATACATGTGCATGTATATTTATATTATATATAATATATATATATATATATATATAAATATATATATACATATATGGGCACTTGATTTTGAAATCCTTTGACCGATTTCGGCATGTGCGAACGACGACGCGCGCGTGTGCACTTCAACCTATTGTTTGCGAAGGGTTCTTGCGACAGCACGCGCGCAAGGGCGTTCGAACGATTTCCACACGCGCGTGCGCGAAAAGGCCAATGTGAAAGTATTTTACAAACGTGCTGAAAAACCAATGGTTTTCTGAAAAAGTTCGACAGAGCGCGAACGCATGTGTTTGAACAATTTTATTGTGAAACCATGTGCTTTCATAGGTGTTCGTGACACTCAAGTTTGGAATCCTTATGAAGCCGGAGGTTGTTGAAGGATTTCGGCATGCGCGCGCGACGCGCGCGTATACAGTGCGATTAAATTTTCGCAAGGGGTTCACTGCAACTGGTGACATGTGATGACCGAATGCGCGCGCATGCTTTTGTGTACAAGGATGAGGGGGGGTGCGAGCTCCGGCCTGCCTGGGACGGTATGAATTCATATGTCGGATGGACGATGGGGAAGAATCAAACGTAAATTGCAATATGAAGAGGTGGACTGTTAGACCCAGGGGGAGGGGGGTAGATCCTACTACTCTTTTAGACAGGAGACTGTGTGTTGCGCAACATAGGTAGTGCAACCCATGTGGCGGCGAGGATGCGGCCACGGGGCGGCGACGGCGCCACCTAGCCGCCAGAGCAGCAGACAAGCCCAGACGACGGGTGGCGACGAGGCGGCGACGGTGGCCACATGGCCGCCAGACCGAACGCGGCCAAGACGACGGATGGCGACGAGGGGGCGACAGGGCGGCGACGGCGGCCACTTAGCCGCCAGACCGAAGAGACGGCCCGGAGCTCCTCATAACAAAAGTTAGAAACCCTAAGTGCAAGCTCTGGGGAACAAGCCCTCTCCGTCAACAAGAGAACTGCAAAACGATCGCGAGTGCACATGTGCGGCGCACCTCGAGGGCTTCGCGCACCTGGCTGGCGGCAGCATTGGCTCTCGAATCAGGCGGCTCAAATCCATCAAAGACCGAACGAACATCATTTTGAGTGATTTCTCGCCTTTTCAATTTCGACTGCCACCAGAGGCCTCAAGATGACTCGAAGAAGGACCAACAGAGTCCCAAGAGGAGCCCAAGAGGGTTCAAGACGGCCCCAAGAGCGCTCCAAGAGGGGTCCAAGTGGCGAATTTGGGGGCTCTAGAAGGGCAATTCTAATTCAGAGCCCCCCTTTCTTTGATCAAGCTTCTCCATGATGGCCCCAAGACGGCACCCAAGGCTCCCAAGTGTGCCTGAGGAGGGCCCCAAGAGGCGCCCAGGTGGCCCGAAGAGTTCCCCAAGTGGCTCCCAGGACTGCCCCAAGAGGCCCCCCCGAGGCACCCAAGGCGCTCCAGGAGGCCCCCGTGACCGCCACGAGGCCCCCAAGACGCCTCAGGAGGACTCCAATAAACTTGCAAGAGACATCCGAAGAGACTCCGAGAGGCATCCAAGAAGCCTCTGGCCGTTCTGCTCGCCCTCCTGCTCCTCCTCTTCATCCGTCCATTCCTCCTCCCTCCTCC